AGCCAGCTTTCCCTTCATGACCCTTAATTGTGCTCTACTGTTTCTACTTCTGTCCTCTATACTTCTTGGCTTTTTTGATGCCTTCTGAGAGAATTCCTAATTCTAATCTTCCAGTTAATTCTTTAGCCATATTCCTTCTACTTTTTGTCCCATAATTACTTTGTTTTAGCTATTATATTTTCTATAACTAATATTTCTGGGTTTTTAAATAACAGTTTCCTGTTGTTTCATATCAATATCTGACCAACCATAACTCCTTACATATATTAGTCACATATTAACTTATCTCTTCCAATAATTCTGCTTCAGAAAGTGTATGCTGTCCACTGTTGCCTTTTGTGAGGTGGCTATCTCCTCAAATGTTCAGTTATTTGTGGGGTGGTGTTGAAGAAGGCCAAGTGGAAAACTAAAACTTCAGTCCCGATGAGTGGTAATAAGGCTCCCAACCCCCAATCCTGTTGTGCCATTTAGAGACCATGTGGTTAGCCTGGAAATCTATCCCCGCCTGGCAATAAGACACACCCCTGTCCCAGCAATTCTGGTGCCTCAGCCTCCTGAGTAGCTGGGATTACAGGCGCCCACCACCACACTCAGCTAATTTGTGTATTTTTTCTAGTAGAGACAGGGTTTCACCATGTTGGCCAAGCTGGTCTTGAACTCCTGACCTCAAGTGATCTGCCCGCCTCGGCCTTGCAAAGTGCGGGGATTACAGGCGTGAGCCACTGCACCCGGCCCTTCTCTTGTTTTCTAAATTATATTTGAAGCAAAACTTACAACACTGTCTAATGTGGTTGTCAGAGTACATAGACAGTTACACTAGAGGTGGAAGAGGGTAATGTGGATACCAGGAGACTGTGATAAGTTATATAAAGTAACATTTTAGAGCAACCACTAAAAAACTATACAAGGAGATACAACTCAAACCACTATGCACAAACCAAAATTGTATTCTAAAAAAAGTGTTCAAGTAACTCACTTACGGGCAGGAAAACGAAAACAAAAAATGGAACAGAAAACAAAAACTAAAATGGCCGACTTAAGGCCTAACATTACCTATAATTACATGTAAGAAAACAGTCTAAAAACTCTAATTAAAAGAATGAGAATGGTATAGAAGAAAAATCATATGCTACATGCAGTCTACAAGAAATTCACTTGAAATATAATGACATAGGTAGGGTGAAACCAAAAGAATAAAAAATATATCATGCAAACATTAATCAAAAGCAAGTAGAATGGGTATAGTGTCAAATAAAGTAGACTTCACGGCAAAGAAAACTGACAAGGACAGAGGGACATTACATAATGATAAAAGGGTCAATCCACCAAAAAGACACAGAAATCCTAAAAGTGTATGTACCAAAAAACAGAACTGAAAACTATGTGTAATAAAAACTGACAGAACTGAAAGGAGATATAGACAATTCCACAATTACAGTTGGAAATTTCAACACCACTCTTTCAACAGTTGACAGAATAACTTGACAGAAAATCAGCAAGGATATACAAGAACTTGACAACCCCATCAACCAACAATTTTATCAACATTTATGGAACACTCCACCCAATACCAAAACACATTTAAGCACCCACAGAATACATATCAAGATAGATCACCCCTGGGCCATAAACCTCAACAAATTTAAAAGACCACAATGAGATACCACTACACACCTATTAGAATGGCTAAAATAAAAAATAAAAGAGGCCAGGCGCGGTGGCTCACACCTGTAATCCCAGCACTTTGGGAGGCTGAGGCAGGTGGATTACCTGAGGTCAGGAGTTCAAGACCAGCATGGCCAACATGGTGAAACCCCATCTCTACTAAAAACTAAAAAAAAAAAAAAAACAATTAGCCAGATGTGGTGGCAGGTGCCTGTAATCCCAGACTAGGGAGGCTGAGGCAGGAGAAGTGCTTGAACCTGGGAGGCCGAGGTTGCAGTGAGCCAAGATCGCGCATTGCACTCCAGCCTGGGTGACAGAGTGAGACTCTGTTTCCCAAAAATAAAATAAAAATAAATCATAAGAGACAATATAGAATGCTGGTAGGAATGCAGAGAAAAAGAATCTCTCATACACTGCTGATAGGAATGTAAAATAGTACGACTACTCTGAAAAACAGTGGCAGTTTCTTTTTTCTTCTTTAGAAACAAGGTCTCACTCTGTTGCCCAGGTTGAGTACCATGGCATGATCACAGCTCACTGCAGCCTTGACCTCCCCGGCTCAAGCAATCCTTCCATTTCAGCTTCCCAAGTAGCTGAGACTACCGGTGTGCGGCATGACACTTGGCTAATTTGTATTTTTGTAGAGTCAGGGTCTATCAAGTTGCCTAGGGGGTTTCAAACTCCTGAGCTCAATCAATCCTCCCATCTTGGCCTCCCAAAGTGCTAGGATTACAGGTGTGAGCCATCAGGCTGGGTTGGCAGTTTCCTAAAAAATTTAAAACCTAACATGTGACCCAGTAATCACGCTCCTGGTCATTTATCATAGAGAAATGAAAACTCATGTTCTCATAAAAAAAAAAACTGCATACAATTGGCCGGGCACAGTGGCTCACACCTGTAATCCCAGCACTCTGAGAGGCCAAGGCGGGAGGATTGCCTGAGGTCAGGAGTTTGAGACCACTCTAGCCAACATGGTGAAACCCTGTCTCTACTAAATATACAAAAAAATTAGCTGGGCCTGGTGGTGTGTGCCTGTAATCCCAACTACTGAGGAGGCTGAGGCAGGGGAATTGCTTGAACCAGGGAGGTGGAGGCTGCGGTGAGCCAAGATCATGCCACTGCACTCCAGCCTGGGTGACAGAGCAAGACTCCGTCTCAAAACAACAACAACAACAAAAACACTGCATACAATTGCCACAGCAACTTTATCTGTAATAGCCCCAACAGGGAACAAACTAGATGTCCCTCAATAGGTGAATCAATTGTTACACAAACTGTGCTAAACCCATACCATGAAATACCACTTAGCAATAAAAGGAATAAACTACTCATATACATACAACTTGGATATGTATCAAGGAAATCATACTGAGTGAAAACAAGACAATCTCAAAAGGCCATGCACTGTAGGATTCCATTTATACATCATCTCATTTAGGACAAGCAGAAGAGATTACTGGTTGCTAGGGTCAGGAATGGTGGGGAAGGAGATGGATGTGACTATAAAGGGGTGGCATGAGGGAGATCTTTGGGCTGATGGAACCATTCTGTATTTTGTTTATGGCTACAGTGATTAAATGACATAGAACTATACACACACATTGTACCAACTTCCTGGTTTTAATTTTGTATTATAGTTATGTGAGATGTAAGTACCGGGGGAAACTTGGTGAAGGGTGTTATACTATACTGTAACTGCAGGTTAAAAACACACATATCTAACAGCCCAGCAGTGTTTTGCTTTGTTTTGTTTAAATCCATCTACTTCTCCTTAGAAAAGTAATGATATGAATCACATGACTTCATCTTCCGGATACTACGATTGGACTGGGAAGAGATAAGGAGAACCAACCCACAAGCGAGAGTGAGCCGATCAGGCTGTCTTCAGAATTTGAACTGAGTGAAAGAGACCAGCCATCCATGAAGGGTTCTGCAGCTGAAAAGTCCTGTGACAACAGGATCAAAACTGGATCCTGGCAAGTCCAAGTCAGTTGAGGTCATGAGGCAAGTAGCAAAAACCGTGAGGCTCCTTGTCTATAAAAATGCCTCATGAGAGAATATTCCCTTTCAGAGCTATTTTGGTGGTGAATAGGTTTCTCCTTCTTGCAGCCATCAACCCTGACCAAAATGTGTGCTTGAAAAAGAGATAAAAAGGTAACAAAGACTTGTCTGCATCATGATTTGCTATGGCCCTGTCCCCATACCCCTGAAGCTTCAGAGAGCTGTCATTTTAACAATCTAATCCTCGTCTCGCTTGAGCTGACTGCTCAAGTCAGTGAGACTAGAGTTTGAGGGAGAAGACAGCAAATCAGATGTCTACTAAGGAGGGTAACACGATGTGCCCAGGTATACTGGACACTCCAAGCAGCACACCAGAACTATGGCCTCCACCCAGAGGGCTCCAATGCCAAGGGTAGGGACCTGAAATTTAGGGGTTAGAAGGAAGGTCCTCCGGAACACAAGTTAACGAATAATCTAGAGGTTGGAATTCATTCATTCATCTCTAAATCTTTATGTATTTATTGGGGGTGGGTGGAGGTATGGGAAGTGCAAAGGGATACTGATCTTTCAGGATCAAGGTGGAGGGACCCCACCTACTGACGTAAGCTCAGCCAAGAGCCCCACCATAGCAACATCGATTACTCTTGGCCTGGTGGGAAGTAAACTGAAAAGGTCACGTGCAGGCCAAGCCATCATCTTCTCACCTCTTGGGCTAATCTCTACTTCCAGTCTCCCATCTTAGAACCCTAGCACAGTGCAAAGTAGAAAAGACACCGACATCAGACTACCTGGGTTCCAGTACTGCTTCTGCCATTTCCTGCTGTTTGACTGCCCTGTGCCTGTTTCCTCACTTGTAAACAGGAAATTACAGGCTGGGCGCAATGGCTCATGCCTGTAATCCTAACACTTTGGGAGGCTGAGGTGGGCGGATCACAAGGTCAGGAGTTTGAGACCAGCTTGGCCAACATAGTGGACCCCCGTCTCTACTAAAAATACAAAAAAATAGCTGGGTGTGGTGGCGGGCGCTTGTAATCCCAGCTACTTGGGAGGCTGAGGCAGGAGAATCGCTTGAACCCAGGAGGCAGAGGTTGCAGTGAGCCAAGATAGCGCCACAGCACTCCAGCCTGAGCAACAGTGAGAGACTCCATCTCAAAAAGAAAAAAAACCCAAAAAACAAAAAGGAAATTAGAGTACCACCTCACACCACCTGGCATTGGTGAGGTGATGATCACTGGCCTTACAATATCTTAGCTCTATCTTCTGTGCCCACTTCATTGGGTGGTTACCAGAATACATATAAGAAGTCAACTGAAAAGAAGCTGAAGCAATCCAAATGTTGTTTTTGGTGTTTTTAATTGTTTAATGTAAGAACAGAACCATCACAGCCCCTCAGCTCTATAACTCATCCAACCCAAGACTGTTCTAGTGGTGAGACCAAGAGCAGACAGGTCTTCCTGCCTCAGTGACCTCAAAGTACAAGGACATCTCCACAGGGCATCAACATACATCTGTCATCCAAGAATCTAAGACCTTCCTGATCCTTCCACATTTTCTGCCAATAGTATCACTTTCTGAGGTTATGGATTCCAGGTGTTCTAGGAAATAGGTAAACCTTCCTTTTGCGTTCCAAGAAATACAGTTTGCGAAGGGAACTGGAAAACATGACTCTAGGCCTCAGCCACTTCCTCTGTTACCCTGTCCAAGGTGTAGAACAATCCATGTTCTCACAGCTCCCCTTCTTCAGTTGTGAAGTTCTTCAAGGTGGATAGACCACACCTCAGGAAGTCATCCCTTGCAAGCACACTAGAATTTACCATAAAGGCAGGTCAGCTTGTTAGTTTTTCTTTGTCCCCAGCATACACTGAGCCAACAACTTAAGTCATGAACGGGTTGTTCAGGGCTCTGTCTGTCCTAAATGATTCCTAAAAGCTTCATACAGCTTATATAGTCTCACTGCCCACTGCTCTTTTGGTGTGGTATGATCCTACCTGTAAAGCTATCAAACCCCTGGGTCCTGGATGCCTCCTCCAGATTTCATACCTTCCTCAAGTTTACTAAATACTTCCTGAATTTAAGAATTTTGAGAAAGTCACCTACCAGCTAATGCAAAAACACAGCCTAATTCTGTGTGAATCCCTGTTGAGATCAGCTTTTCAGGTCAGGGAGGGAAGGCATGGTGTTTAGGGTACCCTCTCCTATCACACACATCCCCCCTGCCCACAGTACCCTGACCCACCTTGCCTGAGACTCCTAGACACTATGAGCTCCCTTCTGGCTGCCACTCAGACTGGCCAGGAAGGCTCCCAGATTGAACACAGGTGGCCCGGTGTAGATACACACTGTACTGTGGGTCAGGACCACGGACTATTATTTAAGCCACATCGTAGGCCCTTCCTGCCTACAGAAAAGGACACTTGAGTAGAGTCACACTTGGGTTGCCTAATTTATTACCTTAACTAGAAACATTCTAAGTATGGGAGCCTGTTCTGGAGGATGGCTCCTAAACCAAATCTAAAACTATCTTTGCACACAAGTGTTGGAAGAGGTAAGCAGGGGATCAGAGCTCCATCTTCTGTGACCACTTCTCCAGGGATTGCCACCTATAGGGCTCAGGTTGGTACCAACAGCCCTGCATAGTAGAGTCACTGTCAATCATCTTCCCACTTGTAAGCAGAAAGACAAAAAGTCTCATGAAATAGAAACGAAAACACTGAAGCATGGCCTTCATCATCCTAATGCCACAAGTTTTCTGGGATGGCCAAGATACTACCTTAGCTTGTTGTCCCTGCTTCCCTCCAGAGACTGGAGACAGAGGATTTTCCAGGGTTAGGGTTTCTTCTCTGACTTGGCAAATTCTTCTTTTTATCTCCAGCTGAATCACTAGTTCCTTGGGTGGCGGAGCAGAGACCTAAGCACAAACCACCGGGCTTACTGGCATGTCCTTCGAGCCACTTCCTCTGCGGTTCTACTCCTCCTCTTCAGCTTACCTGAACCTCCGTACTCTCTGGATACAGAAACTGCCCAAAGCACGGTGAAAAGGACAAAGGGGCCAGGTTTCACCTGGCATCCACCGCTCCCAACATCTAGAGTAAGTCAACGAGGCTGAAAGATGACGGCCCAGTTCTCTTTGCCTTCACTGTGACACTAACAAAAACCAGAAGTTTCAGGTGTCAGCAAGCTACTCAGCATGACGTGGTTTCTAAGGTGGGGTTGCATGGGGAGCACTCTCCCATGGCTGCTGATGAAGGCAACAGTGACGACCTAAACAAGCCCTTCCGGCTCTGAACCACCAGTTGGCAGGTCAGATGACTCCAGTCTTTAGCAAAGGCTTTCCATTCTAACTCCCGAAACCCCAGACCAGATGGATGTCTCCTCCCAGCTGGGCGCAGAGGGTAGCACAGACTTCCAAAAGGAAAAACCTTCATTAAATGCAGCAGGCAGTCCTATATACTGACCCTTGGGTCAAACCACAGCTTTAGCGGGGGAAGAAGTGGCTCTGATCCAGGTACAGCCAGATCTGCTGAGGAGTCTGGGGATCCCAGGAACCAGATCTGCAGATCCTGGACGATGGTGCTTCCCCTTCCCTTGCTGGCACCATATCACCTAACCTAATGGTTTCTCTGAAGACTCAACAGCCCAACTCTGAAGACAGTTGGCGGAGAGGCAAAAATGACTGTCTTAAAGAGGTCTTCAGACACGTGGACGGCTCAGCAGGACCACACACGTGCCCAGGGCCCACCATGAGGCAGCCATCACCAACTTGGTAAGGCGGACATATCACACAGCATCTTCAGGGTGCTGGAGGCAGGCGCTGTGGCAGGAGAGGTAGTGAAGAAGGGTCAAAGCTCTGACAGGTTATCATCACATTCAGACCCTCTAACCCAATCATCTTGACTCCTGAGAATTTATTTTAAAGAAGTAATTCTCAATAGGAAAGAAGCTGGATACACAAGGACATGTGTTGTAGCTGCCAAGTGGTTAACAGAACATGGACTCTAGAGTCAGAGACTCAACTTTCCACTTTTTAAGGCAAGTGCCTATGTTCTCTGAGCCTCCTTTTCCTCGCCTGTAAGAGGCAGATGACAGCATCTACTTTCCAGGGTCACTGTAAGGATTAAATGAAATAATCCACATAAAGCACCTGAGTGTAATCTGTGCTCAACAACAAAGGTCACCTCTTATTATTACGCATGAGGACAGAAAAGGAATGCAGAAAAAAGGAAATCGGCGAGTTTTTAAGGGCAACAGAACAGAAGGGAAGATCTCCATGACTGTTCTGATTTTGAGGCCTTAGACATGTAGGTGTGGGGGGATGCCATCAATGTTGAGCCCTGCAGCTTAAGAATAAGGAAGTGAGTAGGGAGGTGGCCTTTGTCACCAAGGCTTTCCCCACCTTTCTAAGTCTCCCCACTGGGAAACTCCCAAGAGGTCTCTGAGAATGCAGTAAAGGAGGGAAGGCCAGGCGAGGAGGCTCATGCCTATAATCCCAACACTTTGGGGGGGCCAAGGCAGGAGGACTGCCTGAGCCCAGAAGTTTAAGACCAGCCTGGGCAACTTAGCCCATCTCTACAAAATTTTTTCAAAAATTAGGTGAGCATAGTGCTGCATGCCTATAGGCCCAGCTACTTGGGAGGCCGAGGCCACAGGATTGTTTAAGCCCAAGAGGTTGAAACTGCAGTGAGTCATAATCACACCAATGAAGAAGGGTTTGACAATCAAACCTCATGACTTCAATTCTAGCACTTTGGGAGGCTGAGGTGGGAAGACTGCTGGAGCCCAGGAGTTCCAGACCAACATGGGCAATACAGCAAGACCCCATCTCAATAAAAAACGAAAACAAAACCTCATGGGCTTCCCTGTCCAAAGGCAGGGCTGTGCACAGATGGTCACTCTATTCTGATTATGAATACACCTTAGAGTGAGCCAGCTTGCCCACAGCCTGCTACAAGGCTACAGTGAGGCCACTGCCATAGGCCGCCAGCTAGAGGTGCTGCTTGCCAGGCTGACAAGGTCCTGGTATGGCCAGCAGGACAGAGATCTTATAACCACAGGTAGGGAGTCCATTTTTTGGACTCTGATGCAGGGCACAACAGAGTCTGTCTGTTCTCTTCCTCCCTGCAGCTTCTCAGCTGAGGAGTACACAACAGTCCATTCCCATAAAGGAAACGCAGTAAACACCTATCCGTGCCAGAAACGAAACAGATAATTAGGTGTTTACACAGATCTTAGAGCAGTCTAATTGGTGTCCACTTTTCTTTTTAAATTCACTCCATCCATAAATATTGCAATATGGAACCCTAAAATTAAAAAGGACCGTTTTAAAATCCTAACAACAATAGCATTATCACACATTAAAAAGGTTAACCATTCTGTAATATCAACAAGTATCCGGTCAGTGTTCAAATTTCCAGTTGCCTCACAAATGTCAAAAGATGGGTAGTTTGTTTCTAAGCATTAAAACACCTAGATTCCCAAAGCCTGAGGAGATTCTGATCCTGCCACCACAATAGTCACTGAATTAAGTCAACTTCCTCACTACACCAGGTAAGAAAACCAAAGCCTAGAAGGCTAGGTGATTTGCCCAGGATCACACAGCTGGCTGAAAACAGACGACCTGACCCATAGTCCAGTGCTCTGTCTGGCAGTCTGAACACTGAGTTAACTATTAGAAGCTTTTGAATCAGCAAGAAGCCTTAATCTAATAACATCCCCTTGCTTGTTAGAAAAGAATCACCACCTGACCCCTCCTAGCAATTACATACGCATTTTATTTATTTATTTATTTATTTACTTACTTATTTTGAGATGAAGTCTGGCTCTGTCGCCCAGGCTGGAGTGCAATGGCGCGATCTCGGCTCACTGCAACCTCCGCCTCCCGGGTTCAAGCGATTCTCTTGCCTCAGCGTCCCGAGTAGCTGGGACTACAGGTGCGCACCCCCATGCCCAGCTAATTTTTGTATTTTTAGTAGAGATGGGTTTTCCCCTCTCATACCATTTTGTATTTTGCCCTCTCATACCATTTCGTATTTTACCCTCTCATACCATTTTGTATTTTGCCCTCTCATACCATTTTGGCCAGGATGGTTTCGATCTCTTGACCTCGTGATCCACCTGCCTCGGCCTCCCAAAGTGCTGGGATTATAGGCGTGAGACACCAGGCCCAGCCTTCGCCCGTTCTATTAAGATGAAAACTAATCTCATGTTAACATCATCAGTTAGAAGGCCAGACTTCGATCTTTATTCTGTGCTTCAACAGAGCCACGGGCAAGGCGGATTCTCAACGACCTCTACTCTCTTCTCAAGTGGTAACCAGCTTGCCCAGGCCATGGCAAGCTGAGACGGGTTACCTAACGCAGGAGGAAGGGACCACACGGCAGGATCTGTGTTCTAGTTGTGGATCAACCTGGCATCAACAAAGATGAAGACACTCTAAAAACAGGCCCAAATGGCTTTGTAGGTCACGTCTATCAAACCATCAAGGAACTATCATTTCTGTACTATAAAATTGTTTGAGAGTATGAGAGGGGAAAAACACTTCCCATCTCATTCTACAAGGATTGAATTACCCCTTTTACATAACTAGACAAAGAAAAGCACACACACACAAAAGTAGGGGGTGGAGGGGAAGAAAACTATGGGCCAAAGCCTGAATAGATTAATATAGATGACAAAATCCTAAGTAAAATAAAAGCAAATAGAATAGACATGCTTTTCTTTTGAAACGCTTAGCTTCTTTCTTTTTTCATTTTGATAGGGTCTTGTTGCCTTTGTATGTACAATAAAAAGAACAGGACACTATTCTGCCACTGAATCTAGAATTCACACAGTTCGATATTAGGAAACCTATTAAAGTAACTCATCATTTTAACTGATTAAAAGAAAATGTTGGCCGGACGTGATGGCTCACGCCTGTAATCCCAGCACTTTGGGAGTCCGAGGTGGGTGGATCACTTGAGATCAGGAGTTCACGACAAGCCTGGCCAACATGGTGAAACCCCGTCTCTACTAAAAATACAAAAATCAGCTGGGGGTGGTGGCGCAAGCCTATAGTCCCAGCTACTCAGGAGCCTGAGGCAGGAGAACCGCTTGAACCTGGGAGGCAGAGGTTGCAGTGCGCTGAGATCACGCCACTGCACTCCAGCCTGGGTGACAAGAGTGAGACTCTGTCTCAAAAAAAGGAAAAAAAAAGGGAAATGTTTATCCTCATTCGTTTCATGTGATTCTAAAAGAATAATGGACAAAATTCAAAACTCAAAACTATCAAGAGAAAGGAAAAGAATGAAGATTATCTTAGCAAACTAGAAACAGAATCGACACTCCCTTAACTTCAAGATCCATACTATCAGCCCGTAACAGAAAGCCAGCATAGGATAGACAGATTCAAAACGACAGAACAGGCCCATGTGTGTTCAGTACTTTAGAATGTAAGAGCAGTGGATTCTAGATGAGTGGAGGAATGATGAATGGACTCATCCTTACCTCACTTAACATACAAAAGTGAACTCTAAGGAATTAAAGGAAACAAACAAAAGCATTATAAGAAAACACAGAGAGTTTCAGTATGGGATGACAGCAAAGTTCTGCAGATGGATGATGGTGATGGCTGTACCACAGTGTGAATGTACTCAATGCTACTGAACTGTAAGCTTGAAACATGGCTAAAATGGTAAATTGTATGTTACAGATGTTTTACCACAATTCAAATTTTAAAAGGAAAAAGGATTACTTTTATATCCTTGTGATAGGGCTAGTTTTCTTAAGGCATAAAACTTTGGAGCTACAAAGGAAAATATTTGAAGATTTTACTATATGAAAAATTTAAATGGCTGTATGATCCAGAAATAAAAGTTAAATGACTGACATTCAATGAACGCTTCAATAGAAGAAAAAAAAAAGATGAGCCACTGACAGGAATAACATATATGCAACTTGCGTAACAGACAAAGAATTAACATCTGAATAAAGCCACTATAATTCACAGAGTATGACAAACATTTCATAAAAGACATAAAACTTCTTAAGTAATCAGGAAAATGCACATTAAAACAATTTCATTTTTCACCCAGATTAATCAAGTTAAAAATACTGATTTCCACAAAATACGAAACAGATATTTTCATCACTGTCGCTAGCATTGTAAAGTAGCAAAAACTTTTGGAAGGGCAGTTAGTGAGCAGCTGCCCAGATATTAGACGTACACATTCTCTACTTACTCCCTAGCATGGAGAAATGCTCCCAAAGGTACACAAGAATAAGCAAGAGTGTTCACCAAAGCATTATTTAAAATATCAAAAACCAGAATAGAACCCAGCTATCTACCTAACAGAAGGTGGTGACATACATCTTCTTACATCTACTCAGTGAAATACTAGCCAGCCTCTGAAAGACGTAGACAGAGAAATGTGTCATGACATGATTTATAAAAAAAGGCAAGTTACAAAACAGTTCATACTCTGTAATCCCATATTTGTACAAAACAAATAAAATAACATACTTTGTGTAGAAAAAAAAATCTGAATGGATCCATATCAAGCTATTAACAGTGATCATCATCTCTGGGAGTAGCATCATGGGAAACCTTCCCTTTCTAAATTAATTATTTCTAACATGTTTGAATTATTTAAAATAAGCATAATCATTTTTATAATTGAAAAAATAAGAAACAAGATAAAATTAAAACATTTCCATTCCTCTGCAAAAAAAGGTAGCTATGATCCCAATGAATGTCAGGTGTTGACCTCTGTGCAATATTTTCCCTAGAGAGGAAGCGACAGAAGAGCTTTTAGAATGGCTCAGGAACTATCACTGCACCTCCAGTTCACAAGCAGGTTAACATGACGGAAAGGACAGGGAGACACAGGACAGGGAGACACAGGAAGGCCTCAGTTGCACAGGAGATACTGAAGGAAAGCACACTCGATACTAGACTCGAACTCTTTTTTGGCTTAACTTCTAATCTTTGAGTGGCTCCTCAGATCACCGTTTTAAGATTAGAAACATTTGACTTGAAAAGGTCACAATGGAAATCAGATCAGCTAAGAGAAACTAATCATGACTTCCTGGGTGAGACCTATAAAAACCTAGCTGTGCCCTAAAAAGACAGCCATACATGCCAAGATACGGGAAGGCACAGTGCTGGAAAGCCAACGTCAAAGAAAGAGTATTATACTTGGGGGCCGAGGCAGGAGGACCGCTTAAATCTAGAGTTCGAGGCCAGCTTGGGCAACATAGTGAGATATCTCTGTCCCCATGTCCTTAAAAACAAAGAAAGAGGCCGGGCGCGGTGCTCAAGCCTGTAATC